GTAATTTGAGCAGAAAGTCATCTTGCTCTCACAACAAGCTCTGGTAGAGTTTGTGTTAACACACTGCACCCTCTTGAATGGATTTTTATCACCTTTGTCTGTCTGGGGCATGGGGCTGTCTCCCTTTCTCAGTTTAACATCTGATATGTCCCCAGTAAGCTAAGAGACTAAAACCCACTATAAATAAAACATCTGCTTTGCGACATTTCGCAAACTGCTCCAAAGTCGGGCGCAGAGTAAAATGCTCTAAACTGAAAGCCACGATGGACACCACAATCAGTCTGTCCAGGGTGGTGGTGGGCTGTCTCCTTGACATCTGATACTCCACAGTATGCTTAAGCGATCGTGACTCTCAAATAAATATACTGCAATATATCAAATTAATAAAAATGTTTATGTAAACTTCATAATAATTACAATTGACAACATTGTTTTATTCACAATTGGTTGAATTTGCCATTGCACTTCAAAGTTGCATCACAAAGAAAATAAAAATGGTTGTAAAGTGATCCAAAGCTACATCAGGTAGGTAGGTAGCTGCGTCAGCATTCTACATAACAAACACAGCAGGGTGTAACTCACCTAGCCTTGGTGACAAATAAAATGTTTGTTAAAGAAGGAAGGAGCTGCGTTACATAAAGTGGCTGCAATGGAATACATAAAAGGTAATTCAAAGGTGAAAAAAAAGACTCAGTGTGTCACCTCTATAACTCTTCAGCTTACAGTTCATCTAAGGTCATTTATTATTAATATTATTATCTTCTGTATCACATTAAACTTGGAACATTTTTGCAAGCGTAAATCCACCAGTCTATCTATTTTCTAACCACTTGATCCAGGACATGTAGCAGTTTCACCTACACTATTTGGTTACATTTTTTACAGTTTTGACAGACTTCAGAATGTTTCAACTGATGCTTACAAATGTAACATAATGAGTACTGTGGTGAAAGAGCTATTGAGTACAAGACATCTTTCCGCCTGTGAAAAGATTTACATATCTAGTTTATTCTTATCTGTGTGAAAACAGGAAATACAGAAGGAGTTTCATAAAGTAACGAGAGGTCTGGAACACTCTGTCTCACAAACAGGCATTTTAACAAGAAAGAGAAGGTTGTGAAAATTACCCCAATAAAATACAATTTCAAAATACAAGCAGTTTGAAATATTAATTGCTCTTAATAAATTAATATTGTTAATTATTATCAGATACATTATTATAGCTCAGTTCCAGTAGTCTTTTTAATACTGTTTTGTTATTTATGAATTATAATTATAATATATATATATAATTTAGTTTTAAGGCTTGTTGTAAAGGCTTGTCTTTAATTGCCGGACTTGATTGAATAAGTTATGTTGAATTGACTTGCATTAAAGCAGTTGAACTGGTTTTTACTCCCACTGTTGACAGTGTTCATGTTTGCCCATTTGTGTTGTTAATATAATTTAACTTTGAAAAGAAGGAATGTTTATTTGTTAAAGGAGAGCTTGTGCCCTGATCAAGAATCAAACACAGGCTTCCAGAATGCGAAGCAAGCACTGAAGCCATTGTACCAACGCGCCACTTGGAAGCTTAGGCTATAACTGAAAAGGACAAGCAATATGTTTCCAAAGTAATCATGAGTGAATGAGTCAAATTGATGCAGATGTTTACAAAGAAAGTGGACTATCGTAAAATTTTGAGAAATAGACATATATTATATTTACTTAAATTAATATAATTCATAATATATATATATATCATTCATATCATTGTATCATCCCTGAACAAAATACAATCAGTTTGACATTTTTAGCCGTTCTTAATAAATTCATATTGTTTGAAATGATCAGATATGTTATTATAGTTCAGTTTCAGCAATCTTTTTAATACCATTTTGTTGTTCTTGATTTTCATTATAATTATATACATTTTTATTTTAAAGCTTGTTGTAAAGACCTATCTTTAATTGCCCCGCCTGAATGAATAGAGTATGTTGAATTGACTTGAACTAAACTAAACTAAACAGTTGAACTGTTGACAGTATCCACGTTTGCCCATTCATGTTGTTAATATAATTAATATAACTTTGAACACGTTGTGATATTTAGAAATAACAAAGAAATCAATACAGTGTGTCCATAATATTTGCTATTTTAGTTTTTTAAAAGAAGGGAATCAAACTTGGGCTTCCAGAATGAAAGGCAAGCACCAAAGCCATTGTACCAACACGCAACTTGGAAGCTTAAACTATAACTGAAAAGGAGAAGCAAAATGTTTTCAAAGTAATCACAAGTGAATGAGTCAAATTGATGCAGATGTTTACAAAGAAAGTGAACTACGGTAATACTTAGAGCTATGTGAATATTTTAGTTCAGGTGGGTAGCTGTGTCATGCATAGGTTTGCATAGCATGGAATAAACCTATTACTTGTTCCTTTAAATATTTGATGTTTAGATCCTTTAATTAATATTATCAATTTCTCAATAACTTTAATTTCTCAAACTTTAGACACGCAATTCCATATTATATTCCCTATTAAGTGGATTCTAAAAAGTACACCGTTTTTTACTGCGATAACGAGTTTTCATAGAAAAGATTAAAACATTATAGCTTTTTATGAAGTATAGAAACGTAATATAGTCAAAACAAACATTACAAACCTTTTCCAAAATAACCACAGTACATGATTGAGTGAACGACTTTGATGTATAAAATGTTTATGAAGAAACTGGAAAAATTTTGTATATTTTTTGTTTAAATTACCACTACCAGCCATAAAAAGTTTGTATAATATATTTATATTCCTAAATTAATATTTTTTATGATGTTCAGAGACATTAAGTTCCCATTATTTCTATGCTCAGCTACCATGTTTTCCCTTTAGCTTTAAAATATCATATTAATATTCCATATTAAGCAGATTTAAACATGCAGAGTAGAGAGATTAAATGAAGCAATCGTTTCACTAACAACTAATACACCACAAGTGCCACCTGTCGATCTTGATCATTTTGGCCAGCAAATCATGTACTATGGTAGCCTGAAACTCAAATCCCGCAGTACAGGTTTCACTGTGCATTTTGAATGGCTACATCTGTAATTGACACATTTAATGGAGTCCTTTGTGACACAGTGGTATGTGAATTGATGTGTAAGTTGATTCTTGGAGGCACCGTGGTTATCATTGCTGTCTCTGGGATCAATTCTAAACCAGGGATGTCTGGTTTCCTCCCAAAGTCCAAGAACATACTGGTAGATAAATTTCCTTAGGGTAAAAATGGCTCGGATGTCATTGTGATGAACTTTTAGGTGCAACTAATAATTGTATTTCTACAGGACAAGAGTTCTGCCAAATGAATGGATCAAGGAAGGTCTTTAACAGGCAATTCAGTAGGTTTCTTTATAAAGTAGAAGGACAAAGAGGCTGCATACTCAAGACTCAGGAATACAAAATTATAATTAACCTTGTTTTACATTTTTTATTGCAAAAGGAGCATTGAAAGTAGCTTCTTAAAGCACTTTAGAATAATAAGACAAAACAAATTAACACGAAAAGGAGCTAATAACATTAGTACAATTACAAATGAGGGTTCAGAATGCAGTAGATGATGCAAGGGGCAGAGGGAAATACTAGTTAAATCAGAGCCTTTCTTAAGCAGCAGGTTTTGAGTCTGGATTTGACAGTGTTCAAGGTAGTTGACACTCTGATATCCTTAGGGAGAGAACTCCAGAGCTTTGGGACAATGCAGAAGGCCCTGTCACCCAGAGTGTAGACAGGCTTGGGGGACAGATAGGAGACCAGAGTCAGATGTAGAAATGTTGCAAGTTGGGGAGCAGGACAATAGGAACTCAGATAAGTACTGAGCTGCCAAGTCATGCAGAGCCTTATAGGTGAGCATGCAGATTTTAAAGTTGAATGAAACCTGATAGGAAGCAAGTGCAAGAACTCCAGGAAAGTACGTAAGGGATCACTTGAATGTGACCTGATCAGGATTCTGACTTCCCGGATTACTGTAGTTTCTTTAACTTACAGTAGACATACCAGCTAGTAGGGCGTTGGAGTAATCAATTCTAGAAAAGAAATCAGAGACATCATACGTATTGAAGAAAAATAGAAAACAATAATACAACTGCAGTAAGATAAGTGAATACAGAGATTTCGTAATGGCAAAAAAGAAGAAAATAGAAGTATACAGGTAAATAAAACATGAAAACTAAAACCAGCAGAATGTCAGAAGCAGGAGAAGAACATTAAAACTCCCACAGCCAAAATCCCAGTAAGACAACGGGGAGAAGCTATTAAATCCTCTTATAGGTTGATGGGAGACAGCAGAGCGATAGAACAAGGGCTGTCTAAAGGAGAAAGGAGTGTTTACCACTGATCTGAAAAGAATAGCCTCCAAACACACTGACATTTCCAGAACCACAACTGTTTTATTTCAAATAGGAGCCAATCGCCATCCACAGTTATTCTTTTTGTCATTTATTAAGTGGAGCAGTCTGACATTACATAATCGATTAGAACACTGTGATACGTATAATAGCCAGAAATGAGAAATTTCAACCCAAACACTCTCCCAAACCATAATAATGATTTTAAAACAGAAAGGTCTAACAGTTTGTGCTTTAAGTCTCACAGAAACCAATAATAATGGAGGAAAATGTTAAAAAGAAAATTAAATTAATGTAAAGGGAAAATATAAGTACTATAATATTGAGAGGTATTCCCATATAGGAACTCACTTCAATGGTGCACATTTTCATGTCACCAAAAGTATAAGTAGAGAAGAATATTCCTCCAAAATTAATATAAGCTAGTAATTCATAGTTCTTAATAAGCAATGCTTTCTTACTTATTTAGAATGCAAGAATACAAACCCCAGATGAATAACCACCACCTTTATTCTGTACTTCATGTCCTATTGTGTGTTGTGTGTGTGAGGGATGTGATGTTACTCGGCTGGGGAATATTCTCCTCTCTCCTCCCTGTCTGCTCTGCCCTCCCACCCCTGTCCTGCTACACAGTGGTCAGGGTCAGGAACAGGGACAGGAACACCACCGCTGCGATGGCGAGCCTCCCCACACTGCCCAACCCCACCCTCTGAGCCGAGGCATGGGGTGACTGCGGCTCCACCATCACCCACTGGACATCCCCCTGGGTTCCCATCCTCCAGCTCAGTCGCCCTGCAGACCTGTCCCCGAGGACTGTATCGTTGCCGAAAAGGGGGGGCCGGGTGAAGGGGGGCAGGCGAGCGGGAGGGAGCTCCGCGTCATTGAAGACCCCCGCCCTGACGCAGTACATCACCTGGCAGCCGTCGCTCACCGACACCGAGTGCTGGGCGAACCCCGGGGGGCATTTCTGCTGGCCGTTGGCCAGGGGATTCCCTGCCTCACAGCTAAAAAAACCGCCGAAGAGCATAGAGTAGTGGGTACCCACTTGATAATCGCTGCTCAGACAGATCTTCAGCCCATCAGAGAGCAGGGCGAAGGAGAGGAAGCCTCTGGGGCAGCCGAACGATTTGGTGATGGGATTCTTCAGGGTATCACTGTACAGACCCCCAAAAAGGACTACAGAGGACTCTTGGACCTTGCCTTTGGCAGAACACCAGTATGTGGCGACGTTTGCCCTCCGCACGTAGTAGACATTGTTGCAGATGTCTTTACAGCAGGTAAAGACCAGCCAGCATGATTTGCACTCCCGATGGCACTCGTAGACAGTGTATCCTTGTTCCTTGTTCTCGGAGCGCAGGAGGGTCGTGTTGTAGAATGCCTGGCAGGAGAAGGAGTCTGTCTTGGGGTTTTTCTGGTCCAGGCCTGGGCAAAGGGTGCCCCCATCCTGGGTTAGGGCGGTACAGCGCTGGAACACTCCTCCGAAACTGAGAATAGCCACCGTGTCATTGCAGGAGCCGTCGTCTACGTTGGCCTGGAAGCTGAAGTTTGGGGAGTTGGGGTCAACACATCCTGGGAGGGTGTTGATGGTATAGTAGCGCTCGATGGCACTGAACACAGACAGGGCCAGACGTTGGACAGTGACCACAGACAGGTCAGGCAGGGTGTTGCTGTTGAGGAGGAATGGCAGGGGTAGTCCGGAGCGGTCGATGGCCACCAGGTTCTGGGCCACACTTTGCTCCCACTGCTGTAGAGACAAGCCTGGGTAGAAGGGCACTCCGCCGTGACTCTCCGTGAAAGAGTAGGTGATGTTCCCCTCGTACATTTTGGATTCAGTGGTCTCAGCCACCTTCTTCCAAGACAGGCTGATATTATCGAAGAGCTTTAGGAAGCTGATCTGGGCGGAAAAGGTGATAGTCTTCTGAGAGACCTTGGTGTCCAAGACAAAGGTGCTCTTGAGGTAGTCTTCATGGACCAGGCTGGCCCCCACGTCCAATGAGGTCACGACATGCGTTCCGTACTCCAGGACCAGCATCTCGGACAAGAATTCTGCGTTCCTAGTCTCATTGTTCTCCAGGGCATCCGCGATTTCCATTACCTGCCTCTTGAACCGTGGGTCCAGGGCAAAGCTAGGATGAGCTTTGATGGTGTACAGAAAGTGACGAAACTGAAGAAAAAAAGACAGATAGAAATAGTGGAAACTGAATATTTTTATTTCTGCTGCAGCAAAAAATCAGTTTTTCCCTGACCTACAGTAACTGTGCAATGCCATTATAATAACAAATATGAATATCTACAGAAAGAAAACCATTACTAACACAGAATGTATGTGAAATAAGTGTATGTATACATTAGTCTGTAATTGTAGAACTATGACTTCCCAATGCTTTCCAACAGAAGAACCCAGCCTCTCTATCAAGCATTACAGTGGAAGTATCATGAATTGGGTCTGCTTTACTGCCTCAGGACCTAGACAGACAGAACCATGAGTTCAGCATTAAATCAGCAAATTCGGGAGAAAAATGTCAGGTCATCCATACACTGGCTGAGGCTTAGCTGAAAGTACAGACTAAACATACATGCAGATTTCCAAGAAGTCAAAATCGAAATCCAGACCTCAACCCCATTGAACTATTATGGCATTGAGCTGCTGTGCAAGGAAATCTTTAACTGTCACCAACGTGAAGCAATCCTGTGAGGAACAAAATGCCAAAATTCCTAAAAGCCAATGTGAGAGAGTAAGCAGTTACAGGAAATGTCTAGTTGAAGTCACTGCTGCTTAACAAGGTGCCACTAGGTACAGAATCTTAGGTTTCATTTACCTAAATATTATACATGAGGATATTTACTGTTGAATCGTTTTGATAATTAAATAATACCAATGTATCTTTTGTAATTCTGCTATATAGTTTAATCAGGATATCGTATTGTTACAGCTGTGGGTGACTTGAGAAGTCTCTCTTAAGATTTAAGATAACGTTTGTGACACTGGGAAGAGTAAAAACTTCTAACTTCAAAGCAGAGAGGACTGCTGAGGTCTGGGTGTCCCTTGAGCAGAAACAATAGTAAAGTTTATCTTTGTATACAGTACCTAGGCAAGTTGTGGATTAATGACTGCAAAGGAGCAGGGCAGAAAGACACAGTATATGTTCACCTTTAGAGCATGAGGGAGAGAGGAGAAGCAGGAGGAAGAAGCAAGGAGAGCAGGGAGAAGATAGAGGAGTCCAGAGGAGATGGGACTTGAAGCTAGCACCAGGTGAGACCTCCTACTTCCCGTATTGTTCTTAGTTTAATTAGTTTAATCTGTGTTTCATTCCCTTTTCCCTTATTTAAGCCCGGTGTCTCCGTTGTTCCGGGCTCAGCTTGGGAAGACAGATGCCCAAAAACCCACCTATCACTGGGCTCAGGAGAAGCCCGAGGGCATAGGCTTTATCACGGCGTCCTGACCTCTGAGTCCAGGGCTCGGAGCACCTTGCCCTGTCATCGTTTTAACCTTTCATGTTCCTGGTCCCAGTTCCCTGTTCCCGTTTTTGATTGTCTAGGATGGATCTCCCGGCATCTGGATTTTGGAGTGCACCTTACTACCCCTTTGGACTTCCTTTTGGACTCGTTTGCCTGCACTCCCCCCATACACAGGATCACCTCAGTCACTGCCCCCTGTCTGTCATCCCGACCTTACCTCACTGTGCCTTCCCAGAAGTCATTCCCCAGACACTTCCAGATTAGACCGTCACGCATAATGTCTTTAACAATGCATTTCACGGGAGTGTGACCCGGCTCTCGTGACAGTGTCGTTTATTGTAAGAAATATTTGTTTTAGCCGAGTGTGCCTGGATTATTACTCCTTTCAACAAAGCTGTGCCAGATAATAAAGAATCCACGTGCCTCTAATTATACCAGCCGCTCGGGTATATGATTAGAAATCACTTACAAGTCCGGGGTTATGAATAATTCTTTCACTGATTGACTAAACCGTTTGGTCAAATCCTGATTTTCGTCAGTTTCGTAACCCCTAATTTGTAACAGTATATTAATCCTTTATTAAGATATTCATGCAGATCTAATTACATTTAAGGTCTAAAATGCACAATAATACAGACAAACCTATTTTCTCAGTACTGTAAACATAGTCTTAGATATATAAGAAAACATTTTGTTGCATAATGTTTCCAATAAAGAGTTTGCTCACTTTGTGGCAGTGAATGTAAACTACGCAACAAACAAACACATAAATTGCAATTGCAGCAATTAATCAACTGCACATTTCCCCAGATTCTGAAAGAAGCTTCATTGTATGCTGAAAGGTAATTTATTGTTATGCTGTATGAAAATGTGTATAGTAACATTTTAAGGCTTCTGTATAAAATTGTAGCAATTTTGACATAATAATAAAGCCAATTTGCTTCATCTGAGTCTAGAATTAATACATGTTTTTTTTAAATATGACCTGATATAAGAGATGGAAAGATTGTATTAATTATTGCTGTGAAAAACATCCATGTATACATGAGAGTCCTCAGTGTCTACTTCTTCTCTTTTTGTCACAGATATTCAATCTGTCCTACACTGTGTTATTGCCTCACTCATTGTCTCTCTCTATTTATTTGTCTTTACTGAGACCTCGACTCTCTCATTGTCTCTGTATTGTTATCTGACACTTATCCTGTCTTCTGTCACTTATGACCTTGTCTATATACATTAACTGTCACTGTATGTTTTACTCTCTCGTAACTGTGACTGTCTCACTCTTTGACTAATTACATGTTTGTGTCTTAACTCTGTGGATGTCTCACTTATTTAATCTATCTGTTTTTCTCTGTCTCTTAACTGTGTCCTTAACTCTCACATATTTTGTCTTTATGTTTCTCTCTCTCTTCTCTGTGTGCTTGTCTCTCTCCCATATTTCTCTCCTTTGTTCTTGTTTCTCTCCCTGTCTCTCTCTTCTCCGTGTGCTTGTCTCTCTCCCATATTTTTCTCCTGTGTGCTTGTTTCTCTCCCTGTCTCTCTCTTCTGTGTGTGCTTGTCTCTCACCCTGTCTTTCTCTTCTCTGTGTGCTTGTCTCTCCCTGTCTCTCTCTTCTCTGTGTGCTTGTCTCTATCCCTGTCTATCTTCTCTGTGTGCTTGTCTCTATCCCTGTCTCTATCTTCTCTGTGTGCTTGTCTCTGTCCCTGTTTCTCTCTTCTCTGTGTGCTTGTCTCTCTCCCTGCCTCTGTCTCTCAGTGATGGATCCTTTTACCTCCAGCCGGCTGGTGACTGACTGCTCCTTCACCTGATGTGTCTTCACCCTCCTGTTCTCGATGGAGAACTTGCTGTTGAGGAACTTTTTGAAAGACACGTCAGCATTGATGGAGCTTGCCTCCGTGCTCCTGTAGTCCTGCCAGTTCCCAATGATCTCCGAGTTGTGCTCCACCCGGCTTTCCTTCTGGGGGATAATGAAGACCTCATCTGGGAGCAGGTACCCGTCCTCAGTGGTCTGGCAGAGGGAGTAGCTGAGATCCATCACCCGGCCCATGTCCAGGTTGCGAATGTTGTCCCATCCTCCACCTGGAAGAGCCTCCAGGACCTTGATCTCCTTCTCAACTTCCCTACACTTCTGGATCCCTGAGCACAGGGACAGACCTATCCAGGCTGCCAGCAGGAGGAACATGGCTGCATTCAGAGCCATGCTACAGGTGGTCTCCAGAAAGTTAAAAAAAAATCTCTAAGCAAGAAAAGTGAGTCTTTAGCTATAATGAAGCGATGAAGAAAAATAGTTTTCTAAAAATATTATAAGTGTAGTTGACAAAAATGGCGGCACTTTCTGCAGAAAGGGACAGTCGTTTTGTTACTTGCTGTCTCTTGGTGTATGAGTGTCATGCTGAAGGTGATTTCAGCATTCTTATTCATCAGAACTTCCTGGGGTGTGACTATGTGGTGTATTAGATGTCCTGTCTTAACTGTAAGAAGAAATGCAGCTGATGTACTGAAACCTAGGTTTCACTTTTGGTTTAGTTAGTTTGGTTTAGTAAGTAAAACTTGCAGACATGATACTTTGAAATAGAAGCTGATATTTCCCATATATTAATTCATATAGTTATTATACACCTGATCTAAATCATATAATCCTACTCCACACATTCAAAACAAAACGAAGTAAATAACATGAATGGAAAATGCAAAAGTCAGGATTGTAAAATCAGTACAACCCCTGGTCTTGGGAAACCTAAATTAATTTGGTGCACAAATGTATTCGTTTTATTGCACACAATTGCAGGCATTAATTACACACTACCTATATGTGTGCATTGATAGTTTTTTTACCCTAATTTCAGAATAAATCCAACTGTATCTGTGAGGACTCTCCTTCAGATAGTGAATTTCAGTCAAGCATTCAACCATGAAGACCAAGGAGCATGGAGAAAAGTTATAAAAAACTCAAACACCAAACATACCTTTCAGCACTGTAAAGACAATCATTAAGAAGTGGAAAAAATATTGTACAGCCCAGACACTGTCAAGACCAGGGTCTCCCTCTAAATTTAGCAGCTTGTCAAGGAGGAAACAAGAAAGAGATGCCACAGGGATGATGAAAGACTCACAGAGTCCATGGGCTGAGATGGGACAGTCAACAATATCCTGGTGTATAATTCAACTTCAATTCCTTCTTGAAGTTTGCAGTAAAGTACCTACAGTAAGTAATACAATCAACATGTGTCAGAAAGCTTTGTGGTTATGCAAGATACAATTGGCTTAAAAACAAAGTGTTACAACTAACCCAAACACAGCATAGTACAGATGTAGCCATTTAAAATGGAGGGGAAAAACCTGTACTGCGGGATTTGAGCTACAGGCTACCACAATACGTAATTCGTTGGCCAAAATGATCGAGATCCACAGGTGGCACATGTGGTGCATTAGCTGTTAGTGAAACGCTAGCTTTATTTAACCTCTCTACTCTGCATGTTAAAATCTGCTTAATATGGAATATTAATATGGAATTTTACAACTAAAGGGAAAATTTTGTAGTTGAGCATAAAAAAAACAGAAGCATGACATCTCAGAACGTCAAAAACAATATTAATTTAGGAACATAAATATATTATACACACTGTATATAGCTTGTAGTTGTAGTTTAAACTTTCACTCGGTCATGTACTATGGTTATTTTGGAAATGTTTTGACATGCTCGTTCTGACTATATTAAGCTTATAAACTTTATAAAAAGCTATAATGTTTTAATCTTTTCTATGAATACTTGCACTCGTTATCGCAGTAAAAAAAGTGTATGTGTACTCTGCTTAACGCAGCTCCGTCCTTCTTTAACAAACATTTTATTTGTCACCAAGGCTAGGTGAGTTACACCCTGCTGTGTTTGTTATGTAGAATAGACAGTTATACCTGGGAGATAGAGCTGGAATTTTCAGTAGCATTCCCTCTCTTGTCAATGTTTGTTTCCTGTGTTTTCTAAGCACTCGTGTTTTCCATACTGTAGTTTTAAAACTTGAACAAAGATGTGCCACATGCATACAGCACAATGCTGTATAGTTTTAAAGCCACTACAGTACAGGTTGTGAGAAATACATGTATTTGTACTTTATCAAAGTGTGCTTTTGCCACAGCACCCTACATTACAAACTATGGGTGTTTCATTGAGGGAGAGTGTATTTATTAACCCGGTGAAGGGGGTTGTTTTACAGCAAAAAGTTGTTTTACAGCAGCAGTACTGGTGTGCAGACAGACAGAATAAAAAAACCCAACAGGAACAACAATATACATTCATATTTCAAAAGTCAAGGTCAAGAGTTAAGAAACAATATGGCTACAGGTATGAATGAGGACTTGAATCTGTTGGTTTTGGAGTTGGAGAGTTGGTATCTGCGTTCTGATGGGAGTAACTTTGAAGTTATTAAACAAGGGGTGTGATGGATCATCGCAGATGGATTTTGCTTTACGCAAAACAAGTGTATGATAGACGGAGGAGAGGGTTGGAAGATCAGCATGTAACGAACAGTTCTATCTGGACCCTATGCGGACGACATAATCCAGAATAGTGAGGAAGGAATACACTAGGGAAAAGTCATGCAGGAACAGGGATGAACAGGGGGGCGTGTCCATACGGTGCTGGTGATCCGGGGAGGTGTGGCTGAGGCAAACAGTCCAGAATAAATCCAAAAGGAGGAATCCAAATGCGAAAGCAAAAGGTCCAAGGCTGGGAAATCCATCCAAACAGGAGATTAAAATCACTTGCCGGGTCGGGACCGGCGGAGGAAACAAGGACAAGAGCAGGAAGTTAAAAACATAACGGAGCCAGGCGCAACCAGGTCCCGGGCTCGCAGGATGCGGGGATCAGATGCAGAGCCACGAGTAAGGTGAGCGCCTGGCTTATAAAGGCAAACTGAACAGGGGAGAAACAAGGAACAGGTGCCAGGAATGATACAAACGAGGAAGGGCTGGAGCGCCCTTAAGAGGAGGGGTTACGATCGGGACACAGCACCAATGACCTTCTGACATATTTCACACAAGGCTGCCCAGTTTATTCTTGCGTCTCAGGTTCAGGTTGCCAAACCAGCAGATCAGGGTGAAAGTTAGACCAGATCCAAGGAAGGACCGGTAGAACAAAATCAACAATGAATCATTGACCTTAAAATACCATAACATAACACAGACCATACCAGACATAACAGACCATAACACAGGTCCAATGTCCTATAATGCCTTGTAGGGCAGGAAACACATTGATGGAAATTGGTAAGTGATTTCTTCAGGGAGCAGTGGTTGAAAGCTCCCATGATGAAATTAGGAGCATCGGGGAAGTTGTTTTGAACGTGTTGAACAGTCTGTTCAATTCGCTCTGCTGCCCTGATTGCGTTGGCTTTCAGGTGCATATAGACTTCAGTTACAACAATTTGAGGAGACTCTCGAGGAAGGTAAAATGGCCGTAATGAAACTGAGAAAAGTTCGATGTCAGGCTCACAAACACATTCTCTTACTGATTTACAAACAAACACCTCAGCCTTGTGCCTTCGGCATCCCGATGCACAGGTTCTCCAAAGCCGTCAATTTCCAGATCAGAATCCGTTTCCCCACAGAATCCGTGTCCCATCGTCTATTGTAACAGTATCAACAGCAATGTAGTAGAGAGGAACATGTCTAAATGTTTCTGTTATAGTCAACATCCCTCCCCTAGAGGGTGCGCCATTTTACTTCTGTCAGTAGTTCCCTGTGATCGTTTATATGTGTTCCCGGTGCGCCTTGTTGTGTCTCCCCCTATTTATTCTTAGCTCCACCAGGGCTCAGGGCTCAACATTAGGGTACAGAAGTCATGAGGCCCGCCTAGCAGCAGGATACCCTATACCTGTCTTAGGCCTCATCCCTGACAGCTCCTGTGTTCTGAACCCAGGGTCTGTTTGTGTTCTCCCCTTTCCAGGGAATTTTAGCCTCCTCATGTCTCAAGATGGATCTACGGTTGGTGTTTGCCTATTAACCTGGAGGTCAGTGTTTGATTCCCTCTCAATGCACATGTTTTTTTAAATAAAAAGAGACTCATTTAATAAAAAAAAAGTAGTAAATATTATCTATATTATAATTACATGTTATGTTCATATATCACAACATGTTCAATAAATAAATGTAAAATATGAATGAGCAAATGTGAATTTTTAACATTCAAATGTTAAAAATTCAAAGTTCAGGACATTTTAAATTAGTGAGAGGCTGTGAACAGCAGCAGCACCTGTGTTGATGTTAGTGGTTTTATTATAAAATTTATTTATATCAATCAATTAATCAATTAATCAATAAATCAAATTATCAACAATAATAATAAACAAATATTATAATAAACCGAATTCCACAAAGATTAACTACAGAAACTACGTCTTCTTTTTCTGTTTCAGCTGAATGGGGCAAATATAAAGTCAAGTCAGTCAGGATCTCGGAGTGTAACAAGTGCAAAAACATTTCGCATAACAAAACCCTAAAAAAAGCAGACCTTAAATTTAGATCGGGCATCTCTGTAGGTGTCTGAACAGTTCAATGAAAAAAAACTTTAACATAGTCAGGCAGATAGATTTTAAATTCTTTAAGGAAAATTTGCTCTTTAAGATTTGTCAAAATCAGATTCTTTACAATCAGTACACGACTTATCAAAAGATATCCGTTTCTCTCATCCAAACAAATGTTGAATTTTTTTTGGATGGGAGGCCTCAGAGACTCATTCATAGTGTAATCCAAACAAAACATCCACTGGGCATACCGTAATCTTGACATGCAGGTGTGAAGTACTGTAGGGTTCATAGTTTCTATTTTTAAAAGTTGTGGATTTGTGTTAAGATTTGTATCTGTTGGAACTGGAAATACAATGGGAAATATAATTGTGTTGGAGAAATGTTTCCCGCTTCCCCTTTAAAGACAGTCAGTCCGTCTTTATTTCACGTGCATGGTAGCGAAGCACACAGAGATGCTTGGTGTATTTTTACCAAGTAATTAAATTATTTTTCTGTTATCTGTCGCGCTTGCCTGTGTTGATCAGATCATGCACATCTCCCTCTTTCCTATTTGCCAAAGTTGGGACAAAGTGTGTGCACAGGGCGGTGCCTGCTCAGTCGAGGCAAGTCACAGAAAAAGAGAGAAAGTCGCTTTGCTCCCTGCGTAGAGGCTACTGCTGAATAATGCTCTGTTCAGGCG